ATATGCTGGGATTGAACATAGAGACTCTCTACCACAGAGACACACCCCCAGCCCTTTTTATTTTTTATTTTGAGACAGGACCTCATTAAGTTGCCCAGGTTGGCCTCGAAGCTGCAATTCCTGCCTCAGTAACCAAAGAATCTTAAATTCCCCAAGTAAGAGTCTTCAAACGCTTTGAGAACTGACAGCATTTCCCGGTCCAGCTACATAGCACCCAGGGGCTTATTTTCAAGGGGCCACCTGGCTGTAATGCACTTTGGTGCATTTGTTGGAAAGTCATACGGTATCTTAAAATCATACCTGATCCACTGTGGCCAGGAAATCTTACATCCCAACAGAGAGCTGCTGACCACCTGACTTCTCACATAGACAGACCCACGAGCCCCCTGTGCCATCCCAGAGCACCCGAGCCTCCACCTGCACCAGTCATTACAAACCTGTGCTCCACTACTGCTCTGGCCTTGATACCAGCAAACTGCCCACCACCACCTACGGAAGGTTCCTCTGATGCTCAGAAAAGAGTCCCAATTTTTCCTTTTTTTTTTTTTACTTTCTTCTTCTTGGTACTGGGGACTGAACCCAAGGGCACTGTACCACTGAACTATACTCCCAGACCTTTATTATTTATTTGAGACAAGTTCTCACTAAGTTGATGAGGCTGGCCTCAAACTTGTGATCCTCATGCCTTAACCTCCCGAATCACTGGGATTACAGGCATGCGCCATTGTACCTGGTAAGATTTCCCAACTAAAGAGCATCAACACAGAGCCATCACCTGCATGCTTGTGAGGATGCTGAAGACTCCGTTGGCCTTGAGGGCTGCTTCCTTGTTGTAAGAAGAGGGCTGCTCCCTTCACCATGAAAAAGCTCTCGCTCAAGCTAGGAAGAATGAAACCAAGGCACAGTTAGAGGGAATTCAGAGGAAAACCAAGACATGCTACAGAGGAAAAGCTCTGAGTGGACACAGCAGACAAAGTGCCAACAGCAGGAGACTGCGGTCATGACCCTTCCCACAGTCCTCGTCCCTCGCTGCGCCTTTGCTCCCAGCTTGCTTTTGAGAAGCGTTCCTCATGACAGAATGCTACTGCTGAACACCCAGAGCTCTGCGTGGGCTCCGCCAGCACCCAAAGCCCCGTCCCCCAGGGCACTGGGAAGGGGCTCCCTGCACTGCTTTCTAACACAAGCAACCTGAGCAGGAGAGGCTGCTCCCCTCGGTGAGTTTCCCACTCCCACTGTGGATCTTTGCTTCCGACTCCCTGTTAACAACTTCCCTGCTTTCTGGTGCTTCCCTGGGTGGCATTCAAGATCAAACTGAACTTGTACAGGCTGTTTGCATTTTAAGAAAAGTGGGTGACCACTGACCTGTGACTTAACTTAGTTAAGGCTGCTCTGTCCACTACTCCTGTGGAAAGTCTCAAGCTGAGTCACTGAATCTTTGGCCTTTGTTATTTTTAAGTAGCAACAACATTAACATTCAATCTAGAACCTGGGCTGGGGATGCAGCTCAGTGGTAGGGCACCTGCCTAGCATGCAGGAGGCCCTGGGTTCAATCTCCAGCACTGCAAAAAAAGGTCACAATTAAAAAAATCTCACTTTCATGAGCTGTCTATCAAAAGTATCTTCAGCTGTGTAGAAACTAAGACTTAAAAAAAGAGGAAAGCCCCAGCTATTAGTTGCTATCAATTATTAAAAAATACCTTAAACTCTTAAAATTACCCATTAAACACACCCATGAATAATAGTAATTATATTATTATTGTTAACACATAAATAATAACAGTCCTATTATTATTATTATTAAGCTGGGGATCAAACCCAGGGTCTTGCACATGCCAGGCAAACACTCTACCACTGAACTACACTTCTAGGCCCCCAAATTATTTACCATGACTATTTTTTTTTTTAATGGTGCTAGGATTGAATCCAGGGCCTTGTACATTCAAGGCAAGCACTCTACCAACTGAGCCATATCCTCAGCCCCTATAGTGGTTTTTGAAGGATTGGACCATCTATGATTATCTTTTTTCTACTTACTATTTTCCAAATTTTTCAAACAAAACACACAGTAACTTTTAATCCACCCCCCTCCCTGTAACTGAGGATTGAACCCAGGGTTACTCTACTACTGAGCTACATCCCCAGCCCTTTTTATTTTTAAATTTTTTTTTTGAGGGAATTACTGGGAATTGAACCCAGGACCTTGCATATTCTGAGCAAGTGCTTTAGTGATGAGCAACACCCTCAGCCCTTTATAAATTTTGAGACAGGGTCTCACCAAGTTGCTGAGGCTGGCCTTGAACTTGCAATCCTCCTGCCTCCAGCCTCCCAAGTAACTGGGATTACAGGCATGTGCCACCACACCCAGAACACATTAACTTTTTTTTAAGTGGCTGTTTTTTTCTTTTTAATTTTCAAAATAATATAAAATATGTATGATACTTTATAATAAAATTATTTTTATTAATTTTGTGAAACATCACAATTTAAATGATAAGGAATATAAAAATACAGCAATTCTTTCTTAAGCAACCAGAAAATGTTTTAAGAAAAAGCAGTTCTTAAAAAAAAAAAAAAACCAACCCAGAACCTAGACTTAAGCAAATTAATCCCTGGCAGAAATACAAGGATATTTTCTGTAATATGAGGAAGTCAGCTCACTTTTGCTGCCCCAGACATCTAATGTTAGTGGTTAAACATTGTAATCCTGGAATAAAACAGAACAAAACGAAACCCTGCGAAGCCTAACCGGTAATTCTGAGGGCTAAGAGCTGGCGTTCAAGTCGCAGCTCCTGGGAAAACTTATCTTCTATGATGTCAAGTCCACAGTAAAATCTTTCAACTTTTCTGGCTAAGTTCTCATGCTAAAAATAGGGCCTGCGTGGCCATGAGGCAATAGACCTCTGTCCCCTGTCACACGTCGGCCTTGAACCACTGGCAAAGGGCACGTCCCAGCCGCTTCTCCAGTGGCCTCGTGGGCATGTGCCACCCTGGGTCCTCTCCAGCGGGAGCCCAGGGCCAGCGAGCAGGAAAGCAGGAGAAGCACTTTTCTCTGCTCGCTCTCCTGGGAGAAGGCACATGCTCTTGAGCACAGTGTGGCCAATGTGTCACCCAGGCTGTCTCGTTTTAGCTGCTTCCAGATCCCCTGACATTTTTCTACCCCTCAATCTTATCATCGTCTCCTTTCCTCAAATTTTACAACAAAGTCTGTGTTCAGAACCGTTCTGTTTTGGACACGGATCACTTACTACTAATTCTCATCTAAATCTCAAAGCGCTGGGCCAGGGACTCCCAGCCCCGGGGAATTAAAAACAGCATCAGCGCGGCCAGCAGCAGAGCTGGGACTCCTTCAGGGCATCATCGCTGGCTTGTACTAGAGTCTGCGAGGGTGGGGATGCACACTGACCAGCACGCTGCAGCCAGCCGACCACGGACAGCGACCTTAGCCTTGGGAGTCAAGGAGCCAGGGAACCGTGCCGAGGGGCCTGGGCTCTGGAAAGAGGAGTCTGAACCCTGCAGGGGAATCCAGAGAGCAAGGGGACCACGACTGCGACTGTAAGGACCCTGTGTCCTGGGACACAGCAGAGGACCCCACACACGGTGACTCCCAGGGCTGGGCAGGCAGGGTGGGTGGGCAGGCCCAGATCCATAGGACCAAGATGCACAAGTCTTCCTGACCCAGCTTCTGCCCGGAGCTCACTGCAGCCTGTGCCTTCTGCTGGGTGACAAGCACTTCCCCCTACAGCCAGGGCTTTGTGGTTCTCTCTGCGGATGCCCTGAGGGCAGCACATGCCCAGCCATCGAGCCCTAGACGGCCTGCCAGGAAGTGGACCTTAAGAGATCCACCTTGGGGTTGGGGATGTGGCTCAAGCGGTAGCGCGCTCGCCTGGCATGTGTGTGGCCCAGGTTCGATCCTCAGCACCACACACCAACAAAGATGTTGTGTCTGCCGAGAACTAAAATAAATAAATAATCTCTCTCTCCCCCTCTTAAAAAAAAAAAAAAGAGATCCACCTTGGTGAGGCCGGGTTGCAGCTCAGGGGACAGTGCCTGCAAGGTACTTGGGGAAGGAAGCCACAAACCCGCAACCACTCATCCCAGCCACCAAGATACTGGCCTTCTCACAAAAAGTCTCAGTGCTCCCAAAAGACAGACTGAAGTTAAAGAAGGCCTGGGCCGCACAGGAGACTCCTCGTTGGCTTTGAGAAAAATCTTGGTGAGGGACTAAAAACAAAGGCCCAGTGCCCCCTCTCCCCTGGTCAGGGCTCAGGACTTGATCTCTGCAACACAAACACGTTTTGGGAAGAGTCCACACGAACAGACTTCTACAAAGCAGGGAGCCAGACAAGACCTTCAACCGATGCTCCTAGAACCCCAGTCCCAGGCACACCCAGCTCGGGCCCTCTGGGGAGCAGGCGGCGGGGAGGCCAGCGGGTCATACGTACTAGTTCGGGCTGGAAGCCTCTGACCGGTAGAGGTACTGAGTTGGCCGAAGAAAGACGCAGAAATCAGACAAATAAAAAAGGTTCATGACTGCCGTCTTCACGTCCCCAGCGCCCCTTCCACCACGCGCCCAGGGAGCTCCTGCCATCGACGCTGCGTGCGGAACACAGGAAGGGCGACAAGAGGCTGGCTGGCAGGCTCGCATCCTCCTCAGACGCCGGTCCCACCCAGGAGTAAGTGGCTCTTGTGGCACTCTTGTCTCTCCCTGATATTTTGGCTTAAAAAGGCCCTTGTCCCAGCATCCCCTGATGAAAGAGGCCCATTCAGAGGAGCCAAGAGCAGAGTTCCTCTAATCGCTTCACTCCTACGGGCTCCCCTGCCTTGGGAACAAGCAGCAGGGTGTGCCCTGGAACTGGGAGGGGAACAGCTGGCCACCAGTAACTGCCCCCAGCAAGAGGACCCCCTCCTGGTTAATCGACACACTCAAGGGTATCAGTCTGGCCAATCATCATCCATCTGTGGGACAGGACAGGACATGGCAGCTGCCACAGGAAGGGACCCTACATTTTCAAAAGCACTTTGACATTCTGAAAATGCTTCAGTGTGCTAACAGCCACTCTGGGCGGCTGGTGGCCCTTCCCAGGGAACATTCCAGGTGGAGGGGGCCACATGCGCTTCTGTGGGCTCAGGGGCACAGTATCCGGGCAGGCCAGGCTGCAAAGCCAGGGGAGGCTCAGGCCAGGACACGACTCGAGAATCCAGGGGCAGGAGCCGCCAGGAGCTGGGTGTCTGCCTCTCCCTCACCTGTGCAGCAGGTGGGGATAAGGGTGACCACAGCCAGGGCAGAATGGCCTCCCGACCCCAGCCAGCCAGGCCCGCAGGGTTCTGGAGGGGAGCAGAGGTGTCCAGCTGGGGACACTGAGTAGGACTTCTGGAAGCTTCCCCCAGCTCCCAAAGGGCAATCAGTCCTCCCTAGAGGGTTGCGCCAGACACTACCATGCACCAGGGAGGCAGGTCTCCACAGGCAGGTGCCCCCCCACGCCCACCTTCTTAACCCCCAGAATTTCTCCTCCCAATCCAGCTGTGCTGCTGCTGTGGCCATGGGGCCCCAGGGCAGTGGGTCACATGACTGAGTAGGAAGGCTGGGCCCAGAGGCCTTCTCCAGTCTGAATGCAGGAACGTGAAGGAGTGACTTAGAGAAGTGGAACCCTAGGGAGTGAAGCCTTGGCATCCTGTCCTCGCTGCCCAAGGGGCAGCCGGGGGAGGCCCTCATGGCAGGGCTGTGGGAAGAGGGACACAGGGGGCGGCTGGGGGAGGCCCTCATGGCAGGACTGTGGGCGGAGGGACATGGTGCTCGGCGCCGCTCATTGGCCGTGAATGTGAGCAGCTCTCAGAGCAGCAGGGCCACCCTTCTCGGCGCCAGGACTGTGATTCTGGCAGTGACCTTGTGGCCAAGACTGCACAAGGCGCTCACTGTGCCGTGTCACCCACCGCCCACAGCTCGGCACTGTCCATAGGACAAATGAGGGGTCCCAGTCAAAGCTTTGAACCAGGAACTCTAGGGACAGCCTGGACCACTCCCTTAGAGGTCGGGCACACCTGAGTTTAGAACACACAGAGCTCGGCCTGTGAATCTGCCTGAGGGGTCTGTCTTTCTGTTGTTCTCCCAGGGATGGGCACTGAACCCAGGGCCTCACACCTGCTAGGCAAGCTCCGCCCCAGCCCTCGGGCTCTGACCATGGTCCCTCTATCTGATACCCCTTAGGAGGCTCTCTTCATTCATTCAAATAGCCAGTATTCTCAGAGCCTGGGGAGCCTGGGGTACAGGGGGGCAGACATTGATAAGGGCAAAAATAACTGTCTCCTTGAAGGAGTGGGTACCTGTCTCGGTGGTGAGGGTGCGTGCCATGCCACTTAGAAACAGAACTCCTTCAAGAACAAAAGCAGTAGGTGTGGGACTGCCACACTGGAGACTGTTAGGCCAGTGCCCCAGAGCCCAGCTGTATGCCTGAGCAACCAGTGAACTCCTGGAACACGCTCTTGCCGGGCCCAACCTGAGCACATCTAATGCAGATGTTTGAAGTTCAGAACATCAGCTCTTTAGAAAGTTCAGAGGTGCGTCTGATGCCCAGCCAAAGTTAAGGACCCGCAAACTGAATAAGAACAGAAGACACATTTGTGGAGCTGGGCATGTGGTGCACACCCATGACTTGAGAGGCTGAGGCAGGAGGATCACAAGTTGGAGATCAGCCTCAACAACTTGCTGCTAAAAAATCACATGGCTAAACACATGCGTGGTCCTTTGAGAAGCATGATCAGGTGCCCTGAAAGAGATCATTCGGGGGCCAGGAAACCAAATAGCAACCTTTTTGGAAGCACCAAAAACAGAGGCCAGGCTTTTAGGCACTATTTATTCTCTGCACCACTTCGTTGCCGGGAACCTCGGGGCCAAGCAGCATGACACCTGCCTTGGAGAAGGACACCACCAACTGTTGCTGTCATTACTTCTGATGGGAGAAGGACTGTGGGAACACTGAAAGATTCCACCAGACCATTAATTTGATCTTGGATGAAAGCCACGAACAACTTACCCAGCTCTTCGCAGGGAGCAGGACGAGTGGTACTAGCCTATATGTTGTAAGAGGTGACAATGCTGCTGTCACTGGAGAAACGGGTGAAGAGACAGATTCTGCCCTGGACCTGGGGAATGTTCCAGCAGAACTCTAAACTCTGCAGCACAGTGAGACAAACCACATACGCTGGACATCTAAGTCCACACAGAAACCAAGCATTCTGAGGAGGATGCTTGGAATTTTTAGGAACGTGCAATTGTGAGTTCTTACTTCATATTGATTCACTGTAGTATGTAAATTAAAACATTTCTACATTTTTATTGGGAAAAGCAAAAAAGCTCAGTCGATCACCACCACGGTAGCGAATTCTTACATATGTTACGTTGCCTTGGCATCCACTATGACTATAGGCTGGACTTTCTCAAATTAGGAGGGGCTCGGGCCCAGTCACCCTTGGGACAGCTTCCAGTCCTCCCTGCCCTCTGGGCGGTCGATCTTGAACTCTGCCTCCTGGTGAGAGGAGCAAGCCGCAGCCTGCTGATGCGCCCTGCTGATCCTCTGGCTGAGTGGACATGCAGATACACCACAGTGATGTCCTCTCAGTCACAGCGTGACCGCCTGGAACTCGTGCCTGCTCAATTTTGACCCATCAGTTAAAGTCCCTCCTCAGAATGCAAACCTGTTTGTAGACCGCCCTGGCCCCCCAAAGGTGTTGGCCCCAGGTCTCTGCTCTGTCCTCCCGGGCTCCAGGACCTGGGAGCAACAGACTCTATCTCCACCTGAGTCTCTCCTCATCACTGGAGGGGCACTTTCCACCGTGGAGAGCCTAAATCCAAGCAGTCACCCGCAGAAATGCAGGATCCTTGCAGAAGGGATGGTACAGCGAGGTGCAGTGAAGGGAGCCCATGCCAGGGCCCAGACCTCAGATGCTGTCCCCTCAGAAGCAGCAACGGTCAGCTGGTCCCTGCACGTGCCCACCTCCAACCCAATACTGCGGTCACAGACGTTCCTGTTCTCTAAAGGGCCAGGCCTCACGATGACATGAGACGAGGAACGCGACAGCAGAGCAGGCCTCTCGTAAGCTCTGCTGTTGACAAAGCACTCTGGCAAGGGACGCTGGGGAGCCTCAGGGGACTCTAGGCAGACAGCACAGGCATCTCCACACTGATTTATGCACAAGGAAACAGGAAGCTGCTTAGTGACATGATTTCAGGATTTCTTAATTCTGTATCTCACAAAAATCAGAGGCTCTAAGCCCATGGTCCAAGCTCTGTCAAGGGTCTCAAAGTGGCTAAAGTACTTAAAACTAACTGAGTTACTTTTCCATGGATAGAATTAACCCTCAATCACACTCTGCACCGCGAGCTAAGGGGACCTGATGCTCATTCAAGGGAAAAAAGGAGCCAATGTAAAGTTGTCACTACCAAAAAGAAGGGTGCCAACAATTGTGAGGAGGAGGTTCTGGCGGCCCGGTTCAGATCACAGGTGTCTACTGAGCGCTAACCCCAGGGATTCGGAAACAGCCAGACAGGGTTGCTGCCCTGGAGAAGCAAGGTGAGACAGGACAGGGCAGGAACTTGGAGACGACATGGGCACCCGGGGTCAGGGAGTCTTCCTGGGAGTGCTGAGGTGAGCCTGGCCTCCAGGAACACGCAACAGGGAGAAAGGGATGGGAGAGTCCACAGAATCTGCTCCACACGCCTCACCGTGAACAGAGGGAGGATTTGGCCCTTGTCGCAAAAGGCCCCACGTGGATTCGTAACGTGAACTTATAAATTCTGCTTTATCCGTCCGTTCCTCGTAAGCCTGGTTTGCCAAACTGGCTTCTCAGAACTTGATCATCCCCGTGTGAATTCACAAAGTCAAGCTGCGGAATGTGCAAAGCTAAGAGCCAAGCCCTGGGCTTGTGGCCGGGCCATCAATCTGTCAGCATAACAAGTCGCAGCCCCTGCCGCCTGGTACCCTTTTAAATAAGTAAATAACAGCTCCAATGTGAATGGTGCTTTGTAGTTCAGAGAGCCTGCCCCTGCATTTTTTCACTTAATTCTTACAATTCCATTCTTCTGATGAAAGAATTAAGACTCAGATAAGATAAATGACTTGTCAGTGGTTAGATGGTTTCTAGGGGCAAAACCAGATTAAGAAGCTCCAAGTTCAATGTCCTTCCTGCTGAGTCCCCAGGGCAGATGGCAGAACTGTCTGACTGCAGCAACCGCAGCAGCCGGTGAAGGTGATGGACACAGAGTGGCCTCAAACCCCCACGGGCTGTGATTAGACAGCTTAGAAGCCCCTCCCAACAAGGTGAGGTTCATAAAGATGTAAAAGAGATTGGCAAAGCTGTTGAGAGAGACTCACTAAAAGCTGCAGATGGAATGGAAAATTCTTTCCATTACTCTCCCAAAGGGTCCTCCCCCATCCTGCACCCAAGTTCAAAGTCACAAAGGCCCCAAGTGGTAGCAAGGTCCTGCTTTCTGATCTCAGGCTTCCCACTGCGGTCGGGCCGGGCCTTGTTCCAAACACCACTCTGCAGAGAGGAAGAAAACAAGTGGCTCTCGGGACACACCTGTCAACTGGAGCTCCCAAATTGTTC